GGGCCCCCGGCCCCCGGCCCCACAGCTCCCCCAGCCCTGGGGCTGCCAGCCATGCAGGCAGCGCTGCCAGGAGGGCCCCTGGCCATGGGGGTCCCCCCTGGCGGGCTGGGGCGGGGGGCAGTGGCAGGATGGGATGCGCAGATCCTCTCGGCCCCATGCATCAGCTGGGCAGGGCGGCAGCTGGCGGATCTGTGCCAGCCACCCTTTCCATCCCGGTCATGTCAGCGGTGCCGCACACAGGCAGGGCATGGAGGACAGCGGCTCCTCTTTCCGCCCGGCACCCTCGCCCCAGCTGTTGTTTTCTGAGAAGAAATCTACTTCTTGGCTGGCTGTCAGTAAAACACCAGCTCTCCGTGGAAACACAGCCCCTCTGTATCCCTGGATTTCCTGGGCTGCCGGGAAGGTGTCCTCCATCTCCGTGTGCGGAAACAGCCGGAGCGCAGCCCATTTGCTCCGTCACGTTACATTACAACCCAGGAAAGCCCGGCTCTGGCTTTCTCCTGCCCCCACAGTGCTGGCTGATAGGTTTGGACCTCAGAAGGGACCAGGTGTCCCGTTGCCTGATTTTTAGGGGGAAAAAAAATCCCATTTTCTGGGAGCCTCCAGGACACCTCTCAGCCACCGGCAGCCGGTTTGGCACTTGCAAGGGCTCTGCGAGGCACCTCGGTCCATCGGAGGAGCTCGTCCCGCAGCGAGCCGTAACAGCGGCTGCCAGAGGAGACTGCGGTGCGATGCCTGGCGCAGGGACTAGCACCACCCCGGTGGCCCTGCAGCCCCCAGCCAGCCCAGGATGCAGAGCCGGCACAGCGTGGCAGAAGGAGGGAGCAGAGGAGCTGGCGTGGGCGCCTGGAGTGGCTGCTCAGCCTCCCAGGGCTCTGGGAGGTGTTTCCTGCAGAGATCAAACCGCCGGGGCTCGGCCCCTGCCCCGCGGTGGAGGGGCTGCAGTGGGAAGCACAGCCCAGCATAGCCCCCGTCACCCAGACACAGGGACACGTGGGCACCTGCAGGCACCCAAAAGGGTAACAGCGAGATGAATTTAGCCAGGATAGAGCCATCAGGCACAAATCCTGGAAAACGCCCGATTTTCTCATGGGACAAGCAAAATGGGTTGGCAGGGAGGGGGTTCCGTCCTGTCCCACAGTGCAAGGGGCTGCGAACAGCAGCCGCGGGGCGACTAAGGGGAGCAGATGGAGGAATCGGAGCGAAACACCACATCCACAGCATGAGGAGCCAACAGCAAGGGTGCAGGAGGGACAGCTGCTCGGCCGGCAGTCCTTCAGAGGAAGATGTGGGGCTGCTCTCAGCCCGGGCATCGCTAGCACGGCACGTGTGAACAGGATGGTGGGGGCCTGGCATTGCAGGCAGGCTGCATTGCCGCTCCGCCAGGAAGAGCTGTGCTTGTTTGGCTCGCACGGAGGAAGGCTGACGGGGACGTGCAGGGACCCCTGGCATATGCCGTGTCTCCTCGGTGCACCCCTAGGCCCTGGCGCAGCCGCCCACCACCGCGGTGCCCAGCAGTGTCTGTCCCTTGCAGGGGTGGAGTGTGTCCTCTTCAACGAGGAGTACATGACCTGCACGTGGGGGAGCAGAGAGACGCTCACGGCCAACTACTCCCTCTACTACTGGTAGGTGCCCCTGCCCCACGGCCAGCCCCACAGCAGGGTGTCCAGCAGTGGCTCCCCACACAGGAGGCTCCTGCCAGCATTCCTGGTCCCAGCATCAGCCTGCTCCTCTTCCCCGAGCCCAGGGCGGGGGAGGCTCTGTCTCTGGGGCAAGCGGGACGGGACGTACTGGGGAGAGGGTTCCTGGGGAGGGATGGGGCGTGCCGGCTCTCAGGGAGCTCCAGTAACCCACTGCGGCACAGGTACGAGAACAGGTCCCCCGTGGTGGAGTGCAAGCACTACCTGCGGGACCGGGGCATCAGCGTCGGCTGCCGCCTCAACCAGAGCGAGATCATCCAGTTCCAGCCCTTCCGTGTCCTCGTCAATGCCAGCCTCGGCGGCAGGACCCTGGAGATCCCCAGCGAGCGCATGCAGCTGCAGGACCTGGGTACGGAGTGGTGGGGGGCACCCACTCTCCTCTGCGGGGCTGTGGGTACCCAGGGCTGCCCCATCATGTTCTGGCTGGTGGTAGGGCCACCGGAGCAGGGGGACGGCGCTCACTGGGCATCACCTGTGCCTTGCAGTGAAACCGGAGGCGCCCGTCAACCTGACCATCCGCAACCTGAGCAGCAACCAGCTGCAGCTGACCTGGACCTCCCCGTACCCCAAAGCCCAGTGCCTGGAGCATGCCGTCAAGTACAGGAGCAACAAGGACACCAGCTGGACGGTGAGAGCCCCCCGGACACGGTACCCTCGCGGTTGTGCCCAGGGACGAGCCGTGCACCAGCCTCCATGGCAGTGCCGGTCCTCATTGCATGGCCCACGTCCCTCTGCAGGAGCACCAGGTGAAAGGAGACGTCTTCTCCCTCCCCAGCGTGGACTATGAGAAGTACTACACCTTCTACGTGCGCAGCAAGATCAACAGCTACTGCGGCAGCACCCAGCTCTGGAGCGAGTGGAGCGTCCCCGTGGTCTGGGGCAGCAACTCCACCAGCAAGGGTAGGTCCTGGGGGCTGCGGTGGGATGGGATGGGCTAGGGCACGGTGGGGCTCAGCAGGCAAGGGATGGCCAAGCAGGTGGAAAACTGGCCCGAGGCAGCAGCTGTAGGGGCGAGACCCGTCCGGGCACCTGGGGCGCGGGCAGCAGCATTGGCCCCTGCATTCTTTGCACTTCTGGAAGCCAAACACCCCCCGCCAGCGGGACCTGCTGACTTTTGCCAGGGGTAAGAAACCCCGGAGGGCTGCTCTGGCACGGCCGGTCCAGGACAGGGTCACCAGCCAGTTGTGGTGACAGTGTGGCAGGGCTTGGGGACAGGCCCCTTCTCCATCCTCCGCTCCCAGCCGAGCCCTGCCACAGATGATGCCATGGCCGCCCACGAATGGCCACCGGCGTGCCCGCCCCACTGCTGTGGCAGTGCACTGGCTGGGGGTCTGCATCACCCCAGCTCTTTCCAGGCGCGGCGGAGGAGCAGCTGCACTGGTTCTGGATCCACACGGTCTTGATCCCCATTGCCTCCTGCCTGCTCTTGCTGGCCCTATCACTGGATACCAGGGAGAAGAGATCAGCACCTCCCTCTCCTCTTCCCCGCCTCAGGAAGCTGTGGAGAGCAACGAGGTCAACCCTCAGTCTCCTTTTCTCCAAACTAGACAAGCCCAAAGTCCTCAGCCGCTCCTCCTAGGACATTCCTTCCAGCTCTTTCAGCAGATTTGTTGCCCTCCTCTGGACCACTCCAGTACCTTCACTTCCTTCTTACATTGCGGGGCCCAGAACTGCACACAGTTCTCAAGGTGAGGCCGCACCAACGCTGAATACAGCGGGACAATCGCCTCTTTTGACCAGCTGGTTATGCTGTGTTCGATGCCCCCCAGGATGCGGTTTGCCCTCTTGGCTGCCAGGGCACACTGCTGACCCATATCGAGCCTGCTGCCGACCAGCACCCCCAGATCCCTTTCTGCAGGGCTTTCCTGCTCTCCAGCCACTCCTCTCCCCATTTACACTCGTGCCCGGCATTACTCCATCCCAGGTGCAGAATCTGGCACTTGGACTCGTTAAATTTCATCGCGTTAAGCATTGCCCAATGCTCCAATCTATCTAGATCCCTCTGCAAGGCATCTTGTCCCTCAAGAGAGCCAACAGCACCTCCCAGTTTGGTATCACCAGCAAACTCGCTAATGGTGCATTCAACTCCTGCATCCAGATCGTTGATAAATACGTTGAACAGGACTGGCCCTAGAATTGAGCCCTGAGGAACACCGCTGGTGTTCCAGCCAGATGCAGGCCCATTCACTGCAACCCTTTGAGCTCTGCCCTTCAGCCAGTTCTTCACCCAGCGCACCATGAACCTGCTCGTCCCACAGCTGGACAACTTGTCCAGAAGGATGCTGTGAGGGACGGTACCAAAAGCCTCCAGAAAAACTACATCCACCGCCTTTCCTTCATCCACCAGGTGGGTGACCTTATCATAGAAGGATATAAGATCAGTTAAACGGGACTTCCCTTTGTGAATCCATGCTGACTGTGCCTGATGATTGCGTTATTCTTTAAATGCCTTTCAGGAGTACCCACTATGACCTTCTCCATAATTTTTCCAGGAAGTGAGGTTAAACTAACAGGTCTGTAGTTTCCCGGGTCTTCCCTCACGCCCTTCTTGCAAATTGGAACAACATTGGCTAGCTTCCAGTCAGCAGGGACCTCCCCAGACTCCCAAGACCTGTGGGAGATGATCGAGAGGGGTCCTGCCATAACATCCGCTAGCTCCTTCAGCACTCTGGGATGAATCCCACCAGGCCCCATGGACTTGTGAACATTCAGCTGATACAGCTGGTCCCTGACAATTCCAGTGTCCGCAAATGGAAAGTCACTGTTCCCATACCCGTGGTCCTCCGACTCAGGGGACCGGGCAGCCCAAGGTCTGCCCGTTTTATTAAAGACTGAGGCAAAAAAAGCATCGAATGCCTCCGCTTTTTCTTCATCCCCATTAGTCAGATGACCATCTTCAACAAGTATCGGCCCAATGTTTCCTTTAGACCTCCTCCTGCTATCAACGTACTTAAAAAAGCCCTTCTTGTTATCTGACACAACGCTGGCCAGGTTCAACTCTGAGCTTTGGCCTTTCATGTCTCCTCCCTGCATATATGAAGCACAGCTCTGATTACAGGCTTCCTGCAAAGCCTGACCTCGCTTCCAGGGATCATCCAATTTCTTTTTCCTCTTCAGCTCCATGAGGAGTTCCCTGTTCAGCCAAGCTGGTCTTCTGCCCCACTTGCTTGACTCACGACGCACTGGGATTGCCTGCTCCTGTGCTTCTCAAAGGTGCTTCTTAAAAACTGACCAGCACTTGTGGACTCCTGAGCCCTCAAAAGCAAAGTCCCAGGGTACTCTGCTAAATAGCTCCCTGAATAGCTTAAAGTTTGCTCTTCTGAAGTCCAGGGTAGCAACTCTGCTGTCCTTTTTTCACATAGCACTGAAAATTTTAAACTCAACCATTTCATGATCACCGTGGCCAAGACAGCCACCCTACCATCACCATCTCCCACAAGTCCTTCTCTGTTCACAAATAGCAAGTCTAGAAGGGCATCTTTCCTAGTTGGCTCACTGACTACTTGTGACAAGAAGTTATCATCTCCTGCAAACTTCAAGAATTTCCAAGATTGCTCCGTGCTGCTGCACGGCTCAGCCCCAGGGTGCTCTGCCCCGCGGCTTTGCCATCCCCGCTGGTGCTGCCCTGACCCTCTGGGTCACCTTGCGGTGGCACGCCGAGCTGCTCCAGAAATTAAGGCCTGACGTAGCTCCCTGATGGGCAAGGCAGCTGCTGGCAGCACCGCGATGGGCAAGGCGAGGTGCACGGGGCAGAGGGGTTCCCCGTTGGGGCTCCAAGGGCTGCGTGCGTGTCCTGGCCAGCAGTGACAACAGTGTTGGAAGCCAAACCCCCCCCGCCAGCAGGACCTGCTGGGTCCCCCTTGCCAGGGGTTTCTTAGCTCTGGAGGGCTGCTCTGGCACGGCTGGTCCAGGACAGGGTCACCAGCCAGTTGTGGTGACAGCATGGCAGGGCTTGGGGACAGGCCCCTTCCCCATCCTCCGCTCCCAGCCGAGCCCTGCCACGGACGATGCCATGGCCACCCACGAAGGGCTACCGGTGTACCCACCCCACTGCCGTGGCGGTGCACCAGCCGGGGGTCCATGTCACCCTGGCTCTTTCCAGGCGCGGCGGAGGAGCAGCTGCACTGGTTCTGGATCCACACGGTCTTGATCCCCATTGCCTCCTGCCTGCTCTTGCTGGTCCTCGTCATCCTGCTGGTGCGCATGGAAAGGTGAGCGTGGGGGGCTGGTGGGGAGCAGCAGCGCTGGGGCCCTTCCCCTCCCGACACGTCTCTCCTGCGCAGGGTGTGGGTCATCCTCATGCCCCGAATCCCCAACCCCAGCAAGAACTTTGACGAGCTCTTCATCACCCACAACGGCAACTTCCAGGTAAGGTGGCTGCGGGCAGCCCTGCCCCCGGGCTCACCCCCTGCCCCGCGGGGCTGGGGCTGGGCTGGGTGGTGGCTCCTCTCACCCTGCTCTGCTCCCCGGAGGAATGGGCCGGAGTCCCCAAAGATGTCGTGGAGAGCTTCAAGCCCAACTACAGTGAGAAGATCTGCTCTGTGAGCGAGCTGCCCCCCAAGGAGAGCTACGAGCCCCTCTGGGAGAGCAGCAACCACCCACCGTCTGTTATGCCTGGGGCCCTGGCCGCCCCCCGCGAGCACAGCCCCTACAAGAACGGCTACGTGGGAGTGTGACACACTCCCGCACCCCTGCACCCCGCACGTCCCACACCTCCGCTGCCCAAAACCTCGCCAGCCCGCGGGCCTCACTCCCCGCTCCCACCCTGCCTCCGCCAAATGTCTGGACCCCCAGCCCTGCTCTCTGCCACGGCCACACTCAGCCCCCCGCAACACGGCAGCTGTACTGCGCTGCAAGGTGCGAGGTGAGCGCGGTGTGCTGGGTGCACCGAGTGGTGCAATGGGTACACTGCATGCAGCGCGTAGCACCCTGGGTGCACTATTCGTTGCATGCATGTGATGCATTGGGTGCACTGGCTGCTGCGCTGGGTGCATTGCGGCAGACTGTGCGCAATGCACGGTGTGCCAGCACCTGCCCTGTCCTTGGGGTGTCCAGGAGGGCAGGGTGACATCCCACCATGAGCCCTGCTGCGTGCAGGATGCCCTGCGAGGCTGCTGCGGCGGAGCAGAGCCGTGGGAGGGCTGACGGGCTCCCACACTGCTCTCCCATGGGCACCCACACTGGGCGTGTTGGAGCTGCTGGGGGCTCGCTCACGCCCCCTCCCTGCTCCGAGGTGCCCGCAAGCCCACCGAGGGACATGTCCCAGTGAGAGGGCAGCTGTGGCCGAGCAGGCAGGAGCCACCGGCCGACCGTCGGGGACACCGGGGCTGAGGAGTGCCAAGGGCCAGCGGGGCCAAGCCACCATGTCACCCCCAGCCCTGAGCTCTGCTGTCCCCCGGGCGCCGGGCGAGCCCGG